TTATAAAAGTATGGGATAGTATTTATCTGAATGAAATGCTTTCTAATCAGGTCATGTTAAGTTTTTCTAAAATATGAGTGATTTTGCGTAAAACATCGGCAATTATAAAATTTTAAGCAATTATATTCTCAATATGGCTCCAATATTTATCTTTAAATTTCTCCACGTATGTAGCAAAGAAATGTAAAAAAGTGGTGCTTGTCCCATTTTCGGAGAACATTCTCCACTTTCGAAAATTACAAATTTCGAAATTGTACACTTCAATTTCCCACGCTTTGTTTGATGTGCTATCAGTTCGCAAAGTGGCATCCGGGCGGATTCAGATTTTTCTAGTTCTTGACATTTGTAATGATCGTTTGATGTAGATAATATTCTTATGAAAGTAAGTAGATAATATTCTTATGAAAGTAAGTAGATAATGGATTTAAGATAGAAGATAGAATGTAACAGATTTAATCTTGAAATAACAAAATCACTTTATTATTCTAACAAGTTTTGATTGCTGATAATAGTATTCAGAAATTAGACGATCTTTTCGATATAATAAAGGCATGCTTGTGTGAAATTCGTCCTTTTTAATATCCGTATAATATTCTGCACACACATACTTTTATTCACGTTAGTTTGCTTTGTAAACATATGATATGACTACTTTTCTTATTGAAACAAATGCATAAATGCACCACAGGCGCGTCATTTCAGTTGGTTGAATTGGACTTTTTCAATTTATATCTAAAATGTTAATTGTGTAAAAATATTTCCTGAAATACTTATACACTACTATTTCAGAAATATTTCAATAGAAATATAGGATAATATTTTAGTATTACGTAAATGTCATAAAATGCGAGAAAGTATGTGTTGTTGAAGCACCTTTAGCTTCATTAATTTTAACCAGGGCATCATCATTGTCATGCTGAGTGCATCTTCCAGGCTGTCGCTTCCCATTGTACTCGTATTTGATATCCTGTCATTGATTCGAAATGCTATTAAACGTTTTGAAGATAATAAATGTTTACTTCAAATATAATGTCGCAAGTGACACAAAAATTATATTATTAGTATGGAGTAGTAGATGTGAATAAACATGTTATGAAAATATGTTTCATTTCGTGAAGCTGGTTGGCAGAGGCCAATGAAAAGTACCAACCAATCTCGAACGGGATTTTTAATTAAAGATGGCCATACATTTGAAAAGATAATTCAAAACCAAAAACCCAATGCACGAAAATCAAGAGCTTAGTGGAAAGTTTCAGCTGCAAAAGAGGGACTAGCAAAAAATTTCCTTCCCAAGATTACATACGACAACCAATAAACCTTGAAGCACTTATCATCCTCTAAAACATATTTGAGATCACGTTTCCACCATATCTGGGAATTTAGTTTGTCGTGAAGATGAAATAAAATTACGACTTATGAAAGCTGCGTGGCAGATGTAGGGAGAAAACTTTCTACGAATTTTGGAATCATTGGAATTATCCACACTCGCGTTAATCAGAGCCCCCGGCCTTGAGCGAGAGATGACGTGTGGGCGGTTCCTGGGGCCTGCTCCGCATTCGCCGCCATTGGTTTTCGTCTTCCGCGCGGTCGCTCCTGAAAGCGACAATCCGTCGGTGGGCGGGGCGGCGCGGCGCGGCGCCTTGATTGCTGCGTGCGCTGGGCGTGCGCCCCTCGGCCGCCCCCGCCCCGCCGCGCGTGCACGCCCCCTCCAAGGCCGCCCCCTGCGCTATATAAGCCGCCCCCGGCGCCGGAGGGTCCGACCGCAGCAGTCGTCGCGTTGCGCACCATGGCGTTCCGTTTGCTCCTGGCGCTCGCCGCCCTCGCCGCCGCCGCCGCCGCCGACCTCGACTGGTGGCAGACGGCAGTCTACTACCAGATCTACCCGCGCTCCTTCAAGGACAGCGATGGCGACGGCGTGGGAGACCTCAACGGTGAGGCGGCTGCGAATTCACATTCATTGCAACTGACGTTACTTTGCATTCGCATTCCCTCTAAATTTTGGAAACAATCTTCAGACATTTTGTTGTCCATTTTCGTTTAATTTATGATTTATTGTTTTAAGTGTAAAAGTGATGGTTAATAAAACATCTTTTGGAGAGGGGTGATAACTCGTTTCGTGATTCGCGAATTCACGGATTCATTTGACTGAAGTTACGTGCATTCGTAGCGTTTTCGCATATCCGCGACATTCTTGACACGAAAAACATGCAGAAATGTTTATTGTCAATTTTCGTTTAATTTGTGTGTTCTCTTGCTTTGAAGTGGTAGAAAAATGATATTTAATAAAAATAGGTTATAGGAAGGGACGTAAATACAAGAATATATCCTAAGCGTTCTAATTAAATTTAGTTCTCTTACGACCCTCATATATTTCAAAGAAAATAATGCTGTTCAGTTTTCTGTGCCGTTTTGTAAGTAGATGCTTGAAAATAATTTTCTGATCCAAATAAATTTTGTGTATCACGCTAGTGTCATTTGAAATTTCTTAGAAATCGAAATCTCTTAAAAATACGATTGGTAGTTCAGAAAGTTAATGTACGGCAAGAAGGTATTCATCTAACTTTTGCTTTGCAACTACAATTTGAATTGTCTCTTCATATCAGAGTGTTGTTTAATATTGAATATTAATATTTAAGAAATGCTGAACTCGTTTAATTTAAATTGCGTTTAAAGGAAGAGATAAATAATAAGGAAGAAATGTTCAGTATTCGTAGAAGTTTCAATGTACGGAAGAACGAGAAAATAAAAATACAATACAATCGTAACAGTGCAGACAATGAGAAAATAACATATTTTTCTCATTTATTAACAAGAATATTTGCAGTTGTGTGACATATTTCATTTCTTAATGTACCCAAAAATATTTTATTTTATACAATTAAAAAGAAATTAAATGAATGAGCTACAGGCAAAAATAAAGTACTAGAAGTGCGTTGTTTATTACAAAAACGTTCGAATTAACGACTTCGACAATAAACTCGATACACTGGTTTTAATCCTTCGAGTGACAAAAACAAAGGTTATGTTTTCACAATGGTGTATTTGGGTGTCTTAGTTATCATTTATTGTTTGACTGATTCAACTAATATTCTTATGTGTCGTATTCATACATTCGTCTTGACAGCGTTAATGGCATGGTGTATGATGTAGTACCTAAAAATACAATATGGCGGACACTAGTCATTTTTCCCCTTCTTTTCTTTGTGTGTGTAATCGGTTTGACAAATTTCCTTACGTGAGTATGTATAAATCGTCTTGATCCTGCATGTATTACGCTATATAGAGCTACTAATCAAATATTGCGTACAATAGGGTCCATTGTGTTGATGTTTTCATAGCTCAATATTCATTTTCGTAACTTTCGAGAAGAGGCGGGCATTCGGACGATCTTTTAAAAACTCTCCTCCTTGATTTACCCGCCTCGTGTGCCGCAGGCATCACGTCGAAGTTGGAGCACCTGAAGGACGCCGGTGTGACCGCCACGTGGCTCTCGCCCATCTTCAAGTCGCCCATGGCGGATTTCGGCTACGACATCGCCGACTTCTACAACATCGACCCGCTCTTCGGCTCCAACGAGGACTTCTTCGCCCTCAAGGCCCGCGCTGACGAACTGGGTGAGCATTCGCCATTATCATCATCATCATCACCACCACCGGGAGAGCTGTCTCAGGGCATCAACTGATACCTCTGCAGTGCCTCTGATCGGGTGGTTTGGGGGTTAGAGTTCCAACGGTTGCAGGATTTCCGATACTAACTAGCTAGGTTGAATTCAGTCGCCCTGAAGTGTTTGGAGGAGAATTCTTGCGACCGACTGTTCTGATCGGTAGTTTTCCGATCAATATCAGGTGAATGGCGGAGCAGTACCCTACCGAACGGGACACAGACAGCGAGCGATCTTTCCTTCCTATTACTTGTCCTGCCCCTAACATGCACACACACTTACATGCACTGCACTACCACACATCCCGGGAGGCCGGTCCAATTTCTCCTGCGCCCCTCGATCACATGCCCCAATATCTCTCCTTCACGAATCTTACATCTCCCATTTTAATATTTTCCCCCTTAGAACCTCCTTACCATCTCGTTTCCAACCCTAAACCTCGCTATCCTTTATCTACTTTCTTCTGTCTTTACTTCTTTATGGTATCCCGATAAACTACAATCTAGTATTTCCTTGTGCGATTCATTAAATTTGGACTGTTAAGTTCTCTTATAACACATTTTTACACTTCCCGGTCTCTATCTATAATGTTTACACATTAATTCCTCTATCTCTCTTTCTAAACCTCTAATTCTAAATTGCAAGAAGAATACCCTTTCCTCAGAGAACCTTTCTCTTTCCCCCTTCCATCTATATTTCGCCTACCCAGCAGAGGTAAAGTCGCAGCACATAACATTTACATTGGCAGTCGATCTATTGTTTTGGAGTTGACTAAAAGTTTCGTTCGGTAGTGTCAATCGCAGAACCACTCTCTTACGCACATTCATGATGAATCTATCGTGGTGAGATCGAAATAAATGCCTGTGTCTACCTTAATTGAAAATGTAGACAATACGTCGGTTAATTTTGTGTCACTTACCATCGTTCAAAGATGGCGGTCATCCCCAAAAAGCACAAACGAAAGTTATAAATGTAGTTTATTACACCTTTCAGTTCGCAAAATCTATCAAGAATTTTATTGCATTCGTAATCACATTAAACTGTTCCAAACCTTTACATTTTCTTGGCAAAACTCTAATTTATGAGAGTTTTTGTTTTCATTTCTTCCATTTATCAGTGATAATAAAAACAGCGTTTTGAAACGTTTTGTAGGTGAGTTTTTGTCTATTTATGTGTCTCTTTTAGATATCTTCAACTATTAAATATTATAAAGAGTTCTGAGTGGCGAAAACGAAAACAATGTTCTATTTCACAGTTTTACTAAATTAAGTTATCAAAAGAATTAAACATCTGACTTACAAATTCGCGACGTCATCACCAATTTTCCTCTCGCCCACAGGCCTCAAGGTCCTCCTGGACTTCGTGCCCAACCACTCGAGCAACGAGAGCGAGTGGTTCACCAAGTCCATCCAGCGCATCGACCCTTACACCGACTACTACGTGTGGGAGGACGGCGTGCCCAACGCCGACGACCCGTCCAAGCGGGATCCGCCCAACAACTGGGTACGAGCGCCTCCCACACACTACTCCAACAGCGAAGTCCACGCGCATGCTCGCTTGGGGATGCCTTGGGAGTACATTGTTCCGACCTTACCGAGAAACGAACGCGGGTCTCCTGATTGGGGCACGATTTTTTTAGCCACTACTCTACCGAGACAACTGTTGCTTTAGACAGACGCCACATGCCCCATAATTTCTTCCACAATAAGTCACTGGAATGGAATCAGTTGACCCAGTTTCGATTCCCGGTGACGAATGTTTAGAACAGGATATTCATTTAAATCGGGTTACACGGTAACTATGTCAGAACATGGACATCAAGTACTAAAAGGCTCAGGCCCTATTCGAATATCTTGTGTGACTTGGAGGCCTGGGATTTTCGTACAGAACTGTTCTCTAGATGCGAATGGTATTTGTGCGTGAAAAGGGAATGACTGACGCGTGTTTGTGTTCCAGATCAGCAACTTCGGCGGTTCCGCGTGGGCCTGGAACGAGGAGCGCGGCCAGTTCTTCCTGCACCAGTTCGGCCTGGGCCAGCCCGACCTCAACTACCGCAGCCCCGCCCTCGTCGAGGAGATGAAGGCGAGCGCTTGCTTGTGTTGACATGCTCTTGTCGTGGATTCGTGCATTCCGGGAGATCAATCGGGAGCGTAGAGCTTATCTTAGCTAGGGGCTCATCCCCGCTGGAGGAAATACCTCGGGAGGAAACCCCGCAGTTTAACATGCATGTCAACGCTGAATCTGATGAGCCAGGGAGGGAGGAACACACTTCCTTTCGACTACGTAGGCACTACACTCTCGGGACTCATGACCGAAGAAGTGGGCGCGCCCGATTCACGCCTTACTCTTTCTGTTGATTATAATAGTTTTGCACATACACGACAACTGGACATGTGCTTATCTGGCCGGAAACCATTATTGATGTTGATTCAGGCTCTGAAAGCCTTCGATAATATATAAACGTTACAATCTGCTCATTGATTCCATTGAATTTTATTTTAGACGTTTTTCGCTTTTGTCGGGCTGACCACGCTCATATCAGCACGTTTATTCCTCTAAATAAATAATCAAATCTCGAATCGAATTTGTTGCACGGGTCAGGTTTTCATAATCCTTTCATCAAATTCTTGAATTCTACAAGTAATTCTTATACATTACATAGTATTATAATAATACAATATCTAAGACTTTAAATGTAATAATATCCAACTGAAGAGCGCGAAATATATTTGTAACCCTCTATCAAGATTTTAATGGTAAAATCGACACTTCCACGACCTGCATTGCCGCAGTATATCTTTGTATAACTTACTGGTCCCTGCTGTGGGAGATATCGGGAGGGGGAAACCCTGCTCGTCGACGTGTAGGTTGGAGCCGGATCTCACGTTCTACCTAGGGAGTAGCATCGCTCTCTCACTGTATGGACTACACTTACGGGGCTAATTGCCATAGCCGTTACCGCGTGTGGAAACACAGAGTACACTTCCGTTAAATTTTGAGTCCGTTGACACTTGGTCAGATGTGACTCAATCATCCAATCGGAAGCATGAACGTTACTTTAGTGACGTTCAATCTCCCGATCGGATGACAGCGCCACTGCTGACGAAGCGTCAACGGGCTCCAAGTTTGAATCGCAGCCTAAGGAACGAGCTTGTGCGCAGAACGTGCTGCGCTTCTGGCTGGACCGCGGCATCGACGGCTTCCGCGTGGACGCCGTGCCCTTCCTGTTCGAGAACGAGACGCTGGCGGACGAGCCCCGCAGCTACGACCCGTCCGCGCTGCCCACCGACGAGAAGTACCTCAAGCACATCTACACGCAGAACCTGCCCGAGACCATGGACATGCTCACGCAGTGGCGCGCCGTGCTCGACGAGTACACGGCCAAGGACGGCGAGACCAGGTGGGCCAAAATTTAACAGGCAGCACAAAAAAGGAAGCGTGCATTTGACGAATGTTAATGAAGGTGCAATGTAGCTTATTGTAGAAATTCAAATGTTCACTAAGCGAAGCCCTTTGAATGAAATGTGTTGTCATTACCCACAGTTTTATTAATTATACGAATGGCTTTTCACGGCTTAGCCATCATCATCAGATCTTCTGCCCCATATTTGCAAGTCCTAGTATTTGTTTATTAAATTTTAAATCGGTCTATAGGCGTCGATTTCGTTTGCTTCTTAAGCGACGAATCGTTTTCATTTTGAAGAACAGAAAATCTGTTGGTCATTGAAACTAGTGCTGCTGATTATTATGAATTTGCTGAAATAAAAAAAATGATTTTACTTAATATTTTTAGAAGTAAATTGTGTGTTATTTCTAATTTTTAATAATTTGATTTCGTTGCATTCACCCCAAAAGTTCGAATTAAAGAGTTCACGACGCTATTATTTTTGATTTCTTAGAAAATAAATGACCTCACATTACGAAAACTCTCCTGTGTGTTTTTGCATACCGATATTATGGGGAAAAATTAAGTTTCACCAGTAGTATTTGAATATTGTTGAGAGAATGCAGAGGAGACAGTGATTTCCAAGACTACCGTTCAATATTGAAGATTCACTCACACTGATCAGTGGTACTTTTGCCTTTTATTCTAGAACAAAAAAATTAAAGAACCAAACGTAACCACTCGCTTAGCCCAGTCTTCCCTTTTCTCATTCCTGATTGGGCACTTTCTTTCCCTTTGCTTACCACCACCACTCATGGGGCCAGTCGGGAGTTTAGAACTTATCCGTCTGCGCGGGGTCCCCGCTGAGGGGATACATGGAGGAGAGCAACCCACAAGCTTGGACTTTGTAGTGAGCGCGCGATTCAGTGAAGACGGCCAGGCGGGAGAGGAACACCGCCGATCTTCACGCTTCGCTATCGTAGCAACCATGCCCCAATATGCGAGCAACCGGAATTAAGTTCTCAGCGAACACGTCAACGACTCGAGGTTCAGTCACGTGCTTCCAGAAGTACCCGATTCCCGGGCGTTGTTGGGGTGCTACGAGCGGCGGCTGGCAGCTATTGTCGTCAGGGGTGGATGTGGCGTGAGCTGTGTAGTGCGCGCCGCTGCTCACCACCTTCGAGTACTTCGGCACCCAGGAGAAGCCCGGCGCGTCACCTAGCCGTTTCAACTGGTCCAGTTCGTCCAGTACCTGACCAACTCGCATCCTGCCGTCGCAGCGACCTCATCGACCTGGCCGCTGCCAGTAGGCTCCAGAACGCATCCCCTCCGGGCCACACTACCAAGACTGGGTAGAGGTGTGAGTGCCAGCGCGGGGCTTCAGTTCTTAATGTTCTTTAAGCACCACAAATTATTGATAATTCATTGAAGAGATTCGCAAAATGATGACCAGTTTCACTTAAAAAATATTAAATATATCCATAATGGATTTCACTGCCTGTTAATTAATGTGAAGCTGAAATACCGACCAGACGTTCCATTGTTACTATTCCATGTCTGATTAGATTAAAGTTTGAGACTACGTATGTTTGTGTCACAAAAACTTAAAAACCACTAGAGTGATCGCTCTCAAATTTACCTCCAATACCTTTGAGCTTACAAGAATCAAAAATAGTGAAATTATGTTTTAAAATGTTACTCAAAAAATGTTGCTCCTGTTTTTGTAATATTTCGTTAAACTCAGACCCCAGTTCATTTGAACAGCGTTGCTGCGAGATGGGGCCGAATGGAACGAGCACAGTGAGTGGGAACAGGCGAAGCAGGAGGAGAAGGGGCGCGCGGTACAGAATGAGCGAAAGGTGCAGAGAAAGCAGGGACAGGCTTAGTACTGGAGATGCACTTCGCGCAGTTGAATTTTAAGGCTCTCTAAATATTTTCTTTACCTACCCACCCACCAGTGTGAATGTTTCGCGCACAATTTTTAGTTATGATATGTTCTGCACCCCCGCCCCCCGATGGATCATAGATACCTCATCAAGAACATAACCTTGTTACTTGTTAGTATTCATCGTAGTAGAATAAGTAGCGCGTCGCGGCATAAGAAATGTGACGTCTCTAAAAGTAGCATTTTGCGAGAGAAACTTTATCCTGAAAGGAACCGCTTATTTTGCTTCCGAACACAAAGTCATTTGTTACATCTGCGGTTATCTAGGGAACTATTTTTCGGCATTTTTATTAGAAACAGTCGACTTTTTTCTTAACAATTTTTTTTCCTTTACTCTAAACCGCTGACCTGGATGACCGAGGTGGCTAAGAGCGTGTAGCGACTCAGCGCTTCGGTCCGAGGAGTCGCGGGTTCGAGTCCCGCCTTGGGCATGGTTTCTCCCTTGTCTCTCATGTATGTGTAGTCGCGGAGGGCCTCGCGTTCTGTTGTCCCCAGATCAGAAGAGCCCGCAAGGGTGTTAGTGTCTAGTGTAAATCGAATATGCGTCCCTTCGAGACGTAAAAGGTCTCTGGTAGTCGACTGGAAAAAGCCCTAGAAAAGAAAAATAAATTTGTTTAGACGTGCCCCCTTTGTTGCTCACCGTCTTTGCTGGCGGCTGGGGATTGCTCTCGGCGCAAGGCGAGCGCGGAGTGACGAGAGCGCGCGCGCGCGCGGCTCGCAGGTCGGCAACCACGACAACCACCGCGCGGCGTCGCGCTACGGCCGCGAGCTGGTGGACGGGCTGAACATGATGGTGCTGCTGCTGCCGGGCGTCGCCGTCACCTACAACGGCGAGGAGATCGGCATGGAGGACGCGTTCATCCCGTGGTCGCAGAGCGTCGACCCCATGGGCATCAACGCCGGCCCCGACCGCTACCAGCTCTTCTCGCGCGACCCCGAGCGCACGCCCTTCCAGTGGGACGACTCCAAGAACGCCGGTCAGTCGCGCGGGCCAGCTCCCTGCTGCTTCTTCTTCTTTTGTTTTCCTTTAAAGAACAGACGGGTCGGTGTATGAGCTGAAGGCCGTTCTCACTTGCTGATTTATTTATCTTTAAAGAACAATCAGATCTACATGAAGGGTGTGGAGGGATCTTACTTGTTGATTTATCTTTAAAGAACAGACAGATCTGTATATGAGGTGTCCGGGGTTCTCACTTGCTGATTTATTTATCTTTAAAGATCAACCAGATCTATATAAAGGGTGAGAAGGGATCTCACTTGCTGATTTATTTAACTCTAAAGAACAGATAGGTCTATATATAATGTGTGCTGCATGGTTATAGAAATAAACCGTACAGCAAAATGTCTTTCAATTTTGCCCTCTGGTTTATTTGTGTAATAGTGAACACGCTTTCATTCATATACAGGTGTTACTAAGGCAACAAAAAAACATTGTTCAAAATAATACCACAGATGTAATGAATATCTGTTTTGTACAGGTAAAAAATCAAAATCAGCTTGTAACGTTCGTAGTTCATAAAGTAAAATAATTTATGTTGATTCGGAGTCCATGAAAGCGCAGTTCTTCCTGTGTCAATACGAAGAATAAACTAGAAAACCATGCAGCTGTTCTCTCCGGTGTTGCCAACAGTAGCTCTTAATAAAGTAATCGAAACCTAAGGAACCTCTGGAGACGCGAATTACCAACACAAGCTTGCCTTGCCGTGCGTGCTAAACACCTCGGTGCCTTCCCGAATAACGTTTTAAAAACGGGCTAGTTTTACTTATCAATACATTCTTAAGACGCTTCTCATTCATGCTGCCGATTAGCGTGTTCCTAAATTCCGTTTTCCCCTACGTTAACTGATATTTAAAAAAACGTTGAATCCAATATTTAATGATAAGACAGAATGAGAACCCTTTCCTTTTCTGAAAAATGGCTGTTCTTGGAGATATGTCAAATTGGATTTGGAAATAAGCCTGGATTCCTTCCTTCAATTACCTAGATTCTTTCCTATGATTCCTTCCTTCAATTACTTAGATTCTTGCCTGGGATTCCTTCCTTGAATGACTTAGACTCCTTCCTACGATTCATTCCTTCAATTATCTAGATGCCTTCCTATGATCCATTCCTTCACTTACCTAGATTATTTCCTTCGATTCCTTCCTTCACTTACGTAGATTCCTCCGTGCGTGCGCCCGCTGTGCAAGGGAGTGAGTCGTTGGACGCGGCGTGCGCAGGTTTCTCCGACGCGGACACCACGTGGCTGCCCGTCAACTCAGACTACAAGGCGCTCAACCTCAAGTCGGAGGAGGGCGTGGCGCACAGCCACTACACCACCTACCAGCACCTGACGACGGCGCGCAAGCTGCCGGCCGTGCAGCGGGGAGCCCTCGACATGCAGGCCCTCGGCGACGTGGTCGCCTTCAGCAGGTGCGCTGCGGGGGAGATTTAAATCACTTGACTTAAATGCAGCGCGATTTTTGTATTTTATACGTTTAATTACCCCCGTAGCAGAAAAATGATGTTGTAGATATATTATATTTCATTTTAAATTGGCATTTTAAATTTTATATAGGATACAATAATATGATTAAAATCAATCATTTAAATACCAATGTACGTGCTTTTAAATCGTGGTTTAAATCAAATTATTTTTTAAACCACTGATTTAAATCGAAACTTTTTTCTCCGTATTTCATCAGCACTTATCTACATTAAGTCCTAACTGCCATCTTCAATGAGAGTTCTCTCTCTTCTCTTCCTCACCACATGTCACCAATTACCTATTACTCGGATATTAAACGTGTAAATTGAAAGGTTATATTTTAATTTTCGAATTGAATTTTGCTACATACTTCCAATAATTCAATACCATTGAGAGCCCTTGATGAAAGTGCGGTCCGCTATCCGGTGCCTGTGCCCGCAGGACCCTGGAGGGCGAGCAGACCGTGGTGGTGCTGGTGAACTGGGGCGCCGACTCCCTCACCGTCGACGCCTCCGTGCTGGCCGGGGCGCAGGGCGAGCTCACCGTGCTCATCCCCAGCGACAACGCTTCTTACGCCGAAGGGTGAGTCACTTGCAGCTGCATGAGGCTGGGGCAGGCTGTCTCGCTCTCCCAACTTATCCGATATGCACTGCGATGCCTTAACGGCAGCACAGTTGCCTCTGCTCTCTCGTTGAGGGCTTATAGTCCCAATGACAAAGGTGAAGGATTTTCGACACTAGATACTTATATGAATTACTCTCAGCTCTTACTGACAACTTACTATTTGTTACAGGGATGTGGTTGAGGCTAGCAGCATCAAGATGGGTCCCAAGGATGGTTTAGTGCTGACTTCTGCTTAATTATTTGTCTACATTTGAAACATGCTGTGTACCATATCCCCTACATTACAAAACAATATCTGTTATCTGCATTACTTATGTGTTTTCTTTGAGAATATCATTGAATTAAAAAATACATATGTTTATATTTTACACTTATTTCCTGACTATTTTTACTCTGACTTTAATATTCCCACTATCCATTTGAAGTAAATTTAACCAAAAAATCGTACATTACTTATCCCTTATCAAAAGAGTTGGAAGTACATTAATGTAGAAATTAATGTAGAATTTTTATTACCCCCGAATTTTAATTAACATCTAGTAATTATTGTAACTAGGAAAACTTAAAGAATTCTTATTTACAGTTTATCTTCGTAGATGAAGTCTGTTTAAACTCAAAAAGCAGTTTCTGTTTTGTAATTTTTACTTTCTCACATGCTACTTACGTAGTATAGAAAAAGTATTATAATGCAGTGAAAAACACCGATTTTTACACATTTATGTGTAGTGAATAAAGTCCTTTAATATATTAGTCAGAATCCACATTTTGTGGTATCTTGGAACCGAAAGATTAGTTTACGGGAAGACGTTTGCGTGGGAACAACTAGCGACTAGCGACTAAACTGTATGCAAGATTTTCATTAAAATTGATATCGATCTGTTTTTGTTTTTTTTTCAGTTCCTTCAATTTGAAATCGATATTTTGATTTCGGGGGTATTTTACATGAAGCCCTAGCGACATTTTCAAAATTTTATCAAAAATGGCTCCGAATCTATTTTTTTTTTTTTTTTTACTTTCTCTCGCTTAAGAAGGAAGTTCTTAAGAAGAGAGAGTTATGTAACGCTGCACAAAAAAAGGCGATTTTCGGCAGAAAAACTCTTATTACATGGCCTTGGTAACGATAAAGTGGATAAGTTGCTAAATTTAGGGGGGGGGGAATCCTCTCTGATGTAGCCACAAGCCATGTTTTACAGGTCCTTCGTACGCACAAATTAGATTGTTGGAAAAACGTCTTTCTGACAGTCCGTCTGTCTGTAGACGATGCTAGCGGCTAAACCGTGCAGCCGATTTTCTCCAAAATTGATATTCCCCAATCAATCTGGCTGATGTCGCGGCCCCATGAATTTGAATTCGGTATTTCAATTTTGAAACAATTATTTTAATTTTACTCCTCGCACATTTTCAAAAAAAATGGCGTAATCGATTTTGATTAAATATATGTTGTTGGATAGTAAGAAGGACGTTTACGAAAATGGGGCAGGTCTCATGTTGATTAAAAACTCTAATTTTTCGAAAAGTGAAAAAATTCAAAATGTTTTTCGGCATCTTCCTTCAAGTAAAATATTAATGACAAAGATTTTTCCCTTCACAAAATCTATTCCTTAAATACAGATTTTCAAATAAGGTCATGTACAATTTTTCTAAAAGTTGAGTATATTTCGCATAATTTTGCGTGAAATATAGACAATTTTTAATTTTTGATTAAACAATTTTTTTATCAAAAACAGCTTCATCGTTTGTGATGAAATTTTATTGGTGAATAGTCTGAAGGATGCTTAAGGACATGTTGGTTGTAAACCCTGATTTTTCGAAACTTGAAAAAATTCAAACTCTTTTCTGCGTCTTCCTATAGCTACAATTTTGAAGATACATTTTTTGTGTGTAATGAAATGTGTTCATCAAAATAGATCTTCAAATAAGGTCATGTTGAATTTTTTCGATTTTTTTTTTTATTATTTTTAATAATTCTGTGTCAAAGTTGGTTGCCTGCTCTGAAAATCCTGCGCTTTTTGATCATAATTTTAAAGGTATTTTGGAGCAGTTGGATGATACATAAGTTAGAATGTGTATATTATTTTTTATTTATTTGTTTGTTTCTTACAGTGGAGTTATTGTTGTACGTTTACAAGTTAATCTTTTAGAAATTATTTAAAACCTCTTTGAAATAAATATGAAATAAAGATTGCTAGCCCTCAGTCGCTCGCTCCCAATTTGCACAGTTGATGCTTCATAAGTTTGAATTTGTATATTATTTCATATTTAATTTATTATTATTATTATTATTATTATTATTATTATTATTATTATTATTATTATTATTATTATTAGTTATATTTATGTTTACATTCTAAATTGAGTTTTTTAATTGTGTTAAATTTGAAAATGAATAGATGAAAGGTCATTGTTTCATGGGTTTTAACAACCTATTGTTGTAATGCCGCACTGATAACAGAAGGCGAGAATGAAAGCTGAGTTTTGTTCACAGTAATATAAACAAATACTTTTATATATTTGTAGAATATTACAATACCGTAGTGTGTAATAACTACTATTATATATTTCTACTATATGTTCGTGAATACACTGCATACCATATTCAATGAATTCAATACCAGAAATATATTTTTTCATTAAAGTTTTAAATGTATGGCTACTATTTAATTAAACTACTTAATTATAAAAAAACTACTTAATTTTCTCACCAAATGTTCTACGATTTCAAATGAATTTTAGAAAAACTGAGTTAATTCTGAGAAAAATTGTGGTATAAATAGTATTACAAAACCATTACTAATGGCAATGGTGCTGTTTTTTTGAACCGCTAGTTTTATTTGAATATAGCTAAGTATGCTATGGAGCGGATCCTTTTTCTAGGAATTCTCTGAATTTTTGGAAATTACAAAACACTTGACATTTTTCTACATCTTTCTACAACTACAATATTGATAATATAGATTTTAAAATCTGTTGTCCAAAGAAGGGGCAGATCCAGAGACAAAGGAGGGGAGGAGGAATTAGAATTGGAGGGGAAATTAAAAATATTTGGGTCGAATATGTCATTTCAGATATTGTTATGTTTATACTCAGCTCATGCTGTGATACAGTTTTATTCCTTTTTAATGTATCCAAAAATATTTTTGCTTCAAAGTTTCATGACAAGTTAAAATTAATAGTTACAGATAAATTTTAGGGAAGGAAATTTCTCTCAGTTCCCTTCCTGTAGATAGATTATTAAATGCAAAAATGTACAATATTTTTAAAAAATATGAGAAGCTTTGAGTAAATTTGCTTGCAATAAAAGCATTTCCAAAAACAAGATTTTTTTCAAAAACAACTCCAATTTTTATCTTGGATAGTGCAAAGTACACGTATAAAAATTGAAGAGATCCGATTTTCATTGAATTATGTGAATTTTCAAAAATTGCAAAAGTTACATATCATATTTCACTTCAAATCCTTTTCCAGAATATTAAGGTTAGAAACATTCCTTTTGTGATTTTCCAGGATCCTGAGTCATATTACAGTACCTACTAAGTACTATGATTTTGTAAATGAGGTTTTGTTTTAATGGTAATGAAATCCCACGGCAGTGACAAATATCCATTTTCATTTGAAGTATCTTTTGAATTTAATATCTTCATCACTTAAGTCATACATGAATAATTTTTATTATTTTTATAGTCAAGAAACTACCTAAATTTTGTTTCTCCAATCTTTTTGTATTTCATGATTAATCATAAACTGAATTTGCCTGCCTTGATGGTGCAGGGTCTTGGAGTATCGATCAAGTATGTGCAGCTTAACGCTGTGAATTTGAGCCCCATATAAGGCTTGGCACCATGTGACTCTCAAACCTTATAGAACGTCAATAACTTTTATGCCATTGTTATGGATCCTCAAAATTGTCCTCAATTTAGAGATGGAAACATATTTTAAACGTATTTTATACAACCAATATAAGGAGGAGCCTTCAGAAAACATATATATATATATATATATATATATATATATATATATATATATTTGTAGTTGTCATTTTCAGGTAAAATATATTTTTACACAAAATCCTTCAGCTCTAAAATATCACCGTTATTTGGTACTTTCTAAATACACTTCTCCTAATCCTTTGTTTGTTATTTGGTGTGATCAAAAAATTATAAATTAAAACATTAAAACAAGATCTTTGCATAAACCTATTCTCCTGTAATAGAATGTCTGAGGCATTTGTTTGCCTCCCTTTCTTGCTTATGAAATAATTCTAGGATCCCAAAATTGGTTGTGCTAGGATGCATCATTATTGGTTTAATTCCTTTTTAACCAATAGATTTGATTAAAACTTGAGAAAGAAAATAAAATCATTAGATGCATGTTGAAGTATAGGGCATCGGAAGAGAGGAATTTGAATGAATCGGAGGATATGAAAACGATAAATGTTCCTTTTTTTAGGATACCATCACGAACACATTTTGAAACACAAAATAGGTTCCAAAAGTGGTTAAATATTTTATTTTAGAGGGATCATTTTCTTAAAAATAATAAAATCCCAGTGTTAAAAAAAATGAAATCATAAAAAAAGGCTAATCCATTTATTTATAATGTATAACTGAAATATCCTAACTCTAATAAAGACATTAATAACATTTTTACAGTCATTCTTACCTTTTGCAACTTGTTCAACCCCCCTCCTAGCTATTCCTTCCTTTCTCCTTTGGTTCCAGGAGTGCAAGGTTCCCATACTCTGTTGCGATGGATCCATCCTCAATGCTGCCTGAGGTGGCCCATCTCAGACAGTTTTCTACCTTTTTAATGTTGAGCTACCCTGTAGGCCAATATTAATTCTGATTTTAAAGAGAGTCTAAAGGGAAGGAAGAGCGTTGAAAAGTGATTCATATTCGATGGGAAAGTCCCACCACACCAACAAAATTCATGCCTGAGCAGGATCCCCCATCACCTTGTGAGTTGAGAATGTTATATGCTACCTTATATGAAGATAGAGATAATGTGAGAGAGAATGTTATATGCTAATATTAGGAAAACATGATGGTTTAAGAGAACAATTATTTTTTAATTAAATTATTTCATCCCATTGTTATTTTAAAATAAGGATTTAAATTACTGGAGCAACATATAACAAACAAAATAATATAGGTAATGAAATATTACTAGAAAGCAATGGCATACACAAACTGTTGAATGTACACTTTCAAAGTTGCAAATAAGTGTCCCCAACAAATTATAAAATAGAAAATTACATTTCCAGTTATTAAAGATTGGTGAATTTAATTCAATATCATTTGTTACTTTACATGAATAGAACTGCTGGATTACAAAACCAA